TCACCAAGGATCCTGATGTCGCAGCAAGCGTAGCATTTATTCCAGCCTTTTGCCGTATTGCCACTACACCATGTGCAGTTTTGGCAGCTTCTTGCCTGAATACAGATAAATGACATTTTAGTTATTACAACGTTGGTCAAAACCACGATCTCCCATTGCAAAACGTACTGAGCTCGGGATGGTGGAAGATTTTCTACTAGTCTCTGTATACTACTTTCAGAAACATGGGCTTCCATCGCATTATCCTCAGAAAGTGTGACACCTATGTAGTATAAAATATAAATTTAATTATTTCAGGTAAAAAATTTACAAATTTTGTTATTTAGATCTTACCAGGTGCTGAAGGATAAGCGTGTCCTCCAGATATTTGTGGCAATTGATCACGATCTAATTGCATTGGTGCGGCACCTCCGTTTGTTGAAAGATTAGTGGCATCATTAGCTGCAGCCTCGGAGCTGATAGCCTCTGCTTGCGAAGTAGATCGTTTTTGACCTCCCTGCAGTGCTAACAAAGCTCTTGGCAATTCTTTTGCATCCTCGTATTCGTCGTGAATTTTCACACGCAACTTTATTCGTAGACTAAGAAAGTGTGATTAATAAATCAAAATTACAGCTTAGTAAGAATCTAAGATCAAAAGTATATCAATCGAGGAAATAGACAGTCAATTAACAGCCACCAGAATTCAGAACCTTTCGTCATCCTCTAAGATAGAGCTTGCTGCAGTTCCTGATTGAAACATTGCTCTCGTACGTTTTGCTGATCGCTGTAACAAAGTATGCATTGCTGTCATTTTCTGCTTTTGGCATAAATTTAAATGGCGAAAATGATTTTTGACAATCAAAATCGTCGAAAAATTAATATAGATCTACCGTGATTTCCCGTGATAATTAACCAATCAAAATACATAATTGTTAAAATTTACTTGAAAAAACGAGAAAAACTACAAGGGAGTGATGCTAAATTGTCACATGTTACATACTATTAGTAAAACACGTCGTGATAGTTAATAATCACATCCCGTGCCCCAACCCTAGAAATTAGAAATCACACGACGCGTCTAAATTAAGCTTCGAATAATTGAGATTCTTGATTCTTGCAGAGTTACCGATCTATCACTGCCATACTTATTTTCAACGCGTTTTTCAATTGGTTGTGATTTGT